TATATGCTGCATATGCACATGCGTTATCTCCTACACTTATCTCCGTGACATGTTCCAAAAAAGTACCTCCTTTGTCCTAGGCGCGAAAAATTCTAAAATCTCAATTATTTTAATTCTTAGCTCATCTAAATGCGTCAATGGAGCATAAGTTATACTTTTTTCCCTTTTAGTTACGAAGTATTTCGCACATCATGTATCATTACATCGAAATCTTGCATCTATATCGCTACATATTTTACAGTCTGAATCATCACTCTTCGCAACTCCAACGTCTGTTAAAGATTATGTCGATCACGGGCGATGATCTATGACAGAGTGTCGAACATTTAAGTCTCAAGGGCCACAACTCAAATTTTCATTACTTGGGAGAACCTCACCTGACTTTCCCGTATTGTTGATCTCGGCAAGTTTCGCGACTGCTCTGAAACGGGGAGGGGGATGAAATCATGCGTGATATCCGGCCGTTCTATGCACATTGAAACGAGTTGAAAGACATTGCGCAGTGAAACACATTAAGGTGGGTTAGATTTCGTAAATTTACTAGAAAAAATTTACTAGAAAGAATGAAGGGGGGGTGATTCCGGCAGGGAAGTTGACGTCTGCGGGGGGGTTGACTCCGGCAGGGGGGTTGACTCCTGCAGGGAGGATGTTGACTCCGGCAGGGGGGTTTACTCCGACAGGGGGGTTGACTCCGACAGGGGGGTTGACTCCGACAGGGGGGTTGACTCCGACAGGGGGGTTGACTCCGACAGGGGGGTTGACTCCGACAGGGGGCTGACCCCGTGCATGCGCTAGAAGCATAACGTTCTTGCCCGACATGGACGCAAGGAACTTTTACTGTTGACTAATGACCTTTCGCAGGCCAAAATAAATGGCACCGCGGTTCGCATGCGGCCCGTGAACCGCCATTTGGACAACCCTGATCTACAAGAATATGGAAAATTAGCCTTCGGCTCAGCCCTAAGGGTGGGAGTGGAAACAGTGCAGGGAAGGACAAATCGCACGGTCGTCATCCTCGCAATGTACGAAGTTTCACTTGCGCTTTTAAAAAACATCCTGTACGCCAATCGCCTACGACCGCACATCGCGTCAGTGCGTTCCTCCCGGCAACATCCCTTTACGGCCTCATTCATCTTGTCACATTCAACCGACGCACGCCCCCCCCCCCCCCGACAGCGCCGTCTCCTCGCGACGAGTCACGCCCGCGCGCGCGCGTGCGTGTTCCACAGCCCACGCGCACGCTGTCGGGAGAGGAGCAGCGCGCCCGCGTCAGCGAGGACGGCGCGGTGGCAGGCGCTCCGAATGGACGATTACACGCGCGCCGGCGGCGGGGGTGGGGGCTATTCCAGACGTACAGTGGGACGGGAAAAGTAGGCAAACGGCTCCTTTTTCAAGGACAATGAGAATTATATATTTAGTTCATAACCAACACAACGGAAAACACGCCATCAGCTCGAAAATAGTTATGGAAGATACTCCCGAAGAACAAATTTCTTAGATGTGAAACACGTCGATAGGGAGTTTCAAATTAAATCAATAGATTACAACCAGTATGCGGGTTTATAAATAGTACCCACCGTAATAAAACATTAAAAATAGAAAAATCATATTTTACCAGTGTGTGTGTGTGTGCGTTTATGTCCCCGTTCTTAGTGTGGCAGTCAATCGCGGATAATTAAAGAGAGAAACGAAAGCAAAGTGCAATTACCTGAAATGAGATTCCTTAGGAAAGTAACTCTGTACCAAATATGATATCACAGGAAATTACGATATCTGAAAAGATCTGGGCATTTACAGTACAAATGAAGAACAAGAAAGTAATAAAGATTCTTGAAGACAACGCAAGAATGGACGTAATATTTGCTTTTTTTTATTTTTAACTCTGCATTTCCTACGAACAGCCCCAGTGTACGACGTCCCCCAGCGCGAGAGCCGCCGGCACAGGAAGAGGAAAGAACCTCGCCCTGTTTCGACTCCCGTCATAAATCGCCGAGCGGCGCGGAGCGGCGGCCGCGTCTCCTGGCCGTCAATTAGGCGCTGGCGTTTCAGCGCCCCCTCGCCCTCGTCCTCGCCCTCGCTCCCGTCTTCTCACCCTCGCCCTCGCCACCGCCCCCGCGCCCATCTCCTTCATCGCGTCTGTCCTCGCCCCTGCCCCCGGCCCTGCCCTCTCCCTCGCAGCCACCCTCGCCCGCGCCCTC